TGAAAGCCTCTTTCTGGAGTGGGATTAATCCTGGCAGCTGTCTGACAGGAGAGACTGTGTGGGAGGAAAATGGTTTTATCTAAAACTTGAAAGAAAGCAAAATAATCTTCGAGAGAACAAACTGTGTTTCAACTCTCACTCCTTCAGTGGAAGACTATTTACTAACAGAAAATACCCAACAACAGAAAAAATACAAAAGTATTGCTCTGAAAGGTAACATAAAGACCGTGCATTTTTTCTTTCCTTTTACTTATGTGGCCACTTTTCAAAACATTTATTAATAATACAGCTGAGTCTCTCCACAGGAGGCCAGAATCTGAGTCAGTTTCGAAAATCAAAATGAAGCAAATCCCATGGTTTTCTTTTAGCTACGGTGGAGCAGAAAAGGTCTCCGCTTCCCATCCTGCCTCTGCTGTACTTTCAGAGACAGGAAACCTAACAAACAAGACAGTATCAAATATCTCCGTATTTTGGATTTACTTTTCCAGAGCAATCACACTGATGAAACGTACCACTGTTCCTCGTAATTAAAAACAAAGTTTGCTCCTAGAGAAGCTGCATTTCCCCTTGCTCACAGGGAAGTCTCTCTTGGAAAAGGTCACCTAGCCCTAAGGCTGCATTACGACCTGCCCTCGGGAGGCACCATGCTTTGATGTCAATGTGGACACCCTGTTTCCAGTCTCTCCAGTCCACCCCTGTGCTTCTCCATGTCCTCCTCAGCTCATGGGCTGGCTCCATGCCCACATCACTCAACCTTTTTTCTGACTCTGGGCTCTTGTTCCAGCCTGTCCCACTTATTCTCTCCTCACCTTCACTCCGCTGTCCGGTCCCAGCCTACTCAGACTCTTCATTGGCTTTATGTCACTTGGGGCCCTTGCCCCCTGCTGTCACCCCCTGCCAGCTGCCTGCGCCCATGGGTCACAGCAAGGACTGCCTCCCTGCCTGCAGCTCCAGGGCAAAGCACAGCAACTATTTCAGCGAAGTTTCCCAAGGCAAACCAAGTCTAATGGCTGACCTTTTGCTCTGAGAAATTTCAGCTGCAACAATTAACATATAAAGGCAGATGAAAATGCAATTTCGCATGGAGAATGCTGGATATCTTGTTGCTATGTCTTACCTCATTAAAAATTCCAGTTTTAACACGTAAAAACATTAAGGGGACTTTTTTCCCACCCAAAATCTATTTGGCCCCAGAAGTACACAGGGTAAAATAACACAATACAAGTGCACCTGGAAATCATGGAAATTTGCAACTGACACAAAAGAGTTGTTTCTGAGCAGACCTCTCCTGGAAGGTTCTCTGTAGCTCAGAGAACGTAATTTAAATAACTAAACAGTCTCCATTTGAAGCAGCTCAATTCACTGTGGCATTTGCCATCCTACAGTGACAGGACTGTACTGACAGCAAAAGCCACGGTGCTTCATGCGCCTGCACTTTTTTCTTCAACAGTTCAATAGCACAACACACTATATGACACTATTACATATGCCTGCAGCTGCTGCCGGTACTGCTTCAGGCTTCAGCAACGCTAATGTATTAAATAACATCAAATCCATCGTATATAAGGCTGTTCCTCAGAACAAAGATTCGGTTCTTGCTGGATCTCTAGGGAGGCATCTTAATAATGCTCCGTTCCCACCCCCTTGACAGCGATGATGTTTGTCACACAACCGCTGCATATGTTTAGCATATCTCCAAATTATTTTTGGTAAAAACATACAGTAAATTTTACACAACAAAGCTTTTTCGAGCATTTTAAAAGACATGCAGAGCATGAAAATGATGCGGTAACCTGTTTGCATAGTGCTCTGCCATCTATCTCCCCAGACTCTTGAAAAACTGACATGGTTCCTCAAGGGACTTACTTGATTAAAGAACATTAATTAATTGAGTGAACATCTGTGCTGTTTTTCAACTAATAATTAAAATTAGCTAGGAATTGTAATCTCCTTAAAAATGAAAAGTATACAGAATAACTGCAGCCCACTTTCTCACAACATTTGGGTAGGGCTAAGCAACTACAGCATTTACCATAGTGGTTCCCGAGACATTTGTAAGGCCCTGTGGTGGAAGTCTGCTTCCCGGCTAGCCTGACAACAGGAACATTTTATTCTTGGCTTCATGTGCTACAATATTAACCATGACAGTGCTGACATTAGTTACTAAGTAAAATTGAATGTAAATGGTCTAGAAAGCTGCCATTAAATTTAGAAATTATTTTTGGAGTTTGAAATTAAGTACTGTCAACACAACTCATCTTTCCACTTATACGCAAATATGACAGGAATTTTAATGACTTCTCCAAACTCCACATATAAAAGAAAGAAGGGAAATAAGAGTAATGATTTTAATTGCGCTCAAACTGTATTACAAAAAGCAACCGACCTATATGGCATCAGAAGAGCTCAAAGGACTATCCAACAGGACAGTAAGTAGGAGGGCTAGATGAGAAAATGTTACATGTGGAAATGAAGTGTTGCTTCCACCCCCCTTCCATCCCCCAGTGTAACCCACGAGGTCAGGATATACCCAGGATCATCCTTTTCCTCACATGGGAGATATTCTTAAGTTATTTAAACACAGGGCTTTACTCCCTGAGATCAAGGAGAGCCGAGCCATTGGTATGTAGCACCAGGAAGAAGTGGAGATTAACAGCAAAAATGAGATTTCATTGCATACGATAGAAGCTAACTAAGAGTCTAGAGACCGCAAATACCAGATGACTGCAAAAGAGAACATCTCTGAATGAGAAGGTAGATTCATTTAAGCTGTTCTTAATAGCACTGCAGACACTTAGTCTAGAGGTAGTCAATGCAAGAGCCAGTCTGGAATTAGTACGGGAGTGCTCAGCCATGTAATACTGAGGTTGCAATGAGAATTGGTGGATTCATACAAATAGCATAGATATTTGTAAAATTTTCAGAGGCTTACAGAAATATTTATTTCCAGTACAGAGTCACGTGCACAATGACTGTACTCAGCCACTAGTTTGCAACATACTTAGTTGTATGTTTTTTCTGAAATGGCTTTCAACAAGATTGGGTGGTTCAGGGAAATGAAAGACACCTCTCCTAGGACATCTGCTTAGTAACCACTAATTGTAGATGGTTTCTGAAAGGTTTACTGTCTGATCCCTGCTTGGTAAACAAAACAAGGGAAGCCTGAGAATTTCTATTCGAGGCAGGCTGAATGGGTCTCTTCCTCACAGCCCCTCATCTGTACCTGGTACCAGCTTTAGAGAAGGGGGCGAGGAAGAGGTACCTTAAAGCGCTGGAAGACCAGCAGCAGCCCCAGGGAACCTGCCAGCACTCAGCTCTCAGGATGAAGTGATGGGGGCAGGCAGCACCTGGAACCTGTGTGGTTCACCCACGTGGCTCCCAGCCGCAGGAGCAACCAGCCGTGTGCATCCCAGTTGGACCTGGGCCCAGAACCACTTGAAATTTCTGCAGAAGTAGGAAAATTAAGCTGGGAATTCATCAGACCTTGCTTGCTCTGGTGTCACAACAACAATTACGATCTTATTTAACCTATTTTTCTTTTCTTCCTACTCAGTTTTTCATTTCCATAGGTGTTCCAATACCATATAATATCTGGCAATAAAATTCTGTCTGGAATAAAATTGTTCCCCCCTCTTTTTTGCTCACAATGCAGAGAGTTTAAAGCCTTCTGAAGGATTAAAAAAAAAAAAAAAAAATCTTTTTTTGCTGTCATGATATCATTCCTCAGGCTTATCTACTTTCTTTGGGCAGTAAGTACACTTTTGTACTGCCTGACTCCACTCCAGCCCAGTATTATACTGGTGTAAGAACTCTGAAGAAAAAAGAATTTGCTAGTGCCAGCTCGTAGCCTTCTGCAAAAGGGGCCTTTCCCTCCTGAGTGGTTTATGCTTCTGAAAACCAAGCACACCATTTGCTGACTGTGAGCAAGAGCCTCTAAAAGACATACTGAGGTTTGACAGCATACACTCTCTACACCATTCCCTGAGAAAAAGTCCTAGTGTGACTGCAGAGAAAACATCACCATTCACACCACAAGGTATTCTGGGCTGGATGACCCACGGACTAGCAGGCTGGGGGGGAAGGATGACTGTGGGATGTACCCTGGATGGCCCTTCTCCACAATACAGAGACAGAGTGCACTGAGATGCCCTGGAGACTATGGCATCACTCAGTCTTACTGGACAGAGGAGACATCTTAGAGAATGTAAAAATTTTTCCCCCCCCTTTTTTGCTCCCAAAGCAGAGAGTTTTAAACCCTTTGAAAGGTTTAAAAAAAAAAAAAAAAAGATCTATTTGCTGTCATGATATCATTCCTCAGGCTTATCTACTTTCTTTGGGCAGTAAGTACACTTTTGTACTGCCTGACTCCACTCCAGCCCAGTATTATACTGGTGTAAGAACTCTGAAGAAAAAAGAATTTGCTAGTGCCAGCTCGTAGCCTTCTGCAAAAGGGGCCTTTCCCTCCTGAGTGGTTTATGCTTCTGAAAACCAAGCACACCATTTGCTGACTGTGAGCAAGAGCCTCTAAAAGACATACTGAGGTTTGACAGCATACACTCTCTACACCATTCCCTGAGAAAAAGTCCTAGTGTGACTGCAGAGAAAACATCACCATTCACACCACAAGGTATTCTGGGCTGGATGACCCACGGACTAGCAGGCTGGGGGGGAAGGATGACTGTGGGATGTACCCTGGATGGCCCTTCTCCACAATACAGAGACAGAGTGCACTGAGATGCCCTGGAGACTATGGCATCACTCAGTCTTACTGGACAGAGGAGACATCTTAGAGAATGTAAGAATATTTGTAGTAGTGAAATAAAAATAAAATCTGAGGCTGTTTGGGAGGTGTGTGCATACAGCAGTCACCAAGCTTGAAACAAGCATGGGGAAGAAAACGTAGCTATAACCACAGATTTGATCATCACCCTGATCTCATTAAAAAACAGCCTGTATCACAAAGAAAACATGATAGGTGCACATAATGATGAAACACTTACCCTGGAATCCTTTTCCAGATGAAGCTTGTGTTGAAGACTGCGTCTTCTCCTGGCCTTGGCAATGCCATTGTGATAAAAGAAGTATCCAGTATCTAAAAAAGGGAGCTGAGGAAGAGAGAGAGAAAAAAACATCATGGAGCTATTGGCTACTAATAAGGATGACATGGAAAACTTCTACCCGTTTAGTGACTCAGGAATCTACACCAAGTCTTACGAAGAGTTACGCCAAAGGGCTCAAATCGCTCTTACGAATGTCACTTCCAAGTTGCTTTTGGAAACCATGCCCAGCAGCATTAAAGTTATTTGCGACAGGTTTACAATGCGTAACTTCGCTTGTATACACTTGGTACTATTTTCACCTTATGTTTAAGGTCAACAGTGCCAATAGATCTGAAGGGCTTCCCAAATCACGTCAGAATTATTTCCTATTTCCTGAAAAAGCCAGAAAAAAAAGAACAAAATGAACTGCAAATTATTTGAAACTACCGCAAACCATCCTTCAGCAGTAAGGCATTACACAAGTGCCTTTCTGAGCCATTATAACACGCCCGAGCTGATGCCGTAAGCAGTAAGGCAGAAAGCAGAGTGATTTCCACTCTCTGAAAAATATGGTATTTGGAATTTCTTCTGAACACCAGGAAATGGAACATAAGAAGAATATTAGGAAAACAGAGAGCTCACAGCATCCAGGTGGGAAGTGTCTTGTACAGCTTTACTGCCTAAGACATTCAGGCAGCAATCAAACACCTCCCAGGGGCTTTCCAGGCCCACCTAAGGCAGGTGCCAGGGTAGGAAGATGCATGGCCATTACTAAATGCATCTCTCTCCACAGGATTGGCAGAGTGCCTGGAAGGCTAGCAGACATTTAGCTTGGAGAAGGCTAAAAAACACAGTGTTAAGAGAACAGCATCCCACCTCCAGCAGTCAATTAGAAAGCTCCATTTGCATCTCAAATTCTACAGCTTTTTCCCCTTTCCAACTTAGTAGGGAGATTCCGGTTTACTGTTTAAATTTAAGCAAGTAACTGTGTATTTTTAAACTAAGCTTCTCTTTGTAAAAGTTGAAAAAAAAAAAAATGGGCTCTTGTTGGGAAGTTATATGTTAATGCTGTGAACATTTCAGCTTCAAAGGTTAGACTACCCTGCATGTAAAATAACTACTTAAAAGAGATATTCCAGAAGAGCCATGACAGCCCTGTTCCTCTCCTTTTTATTATCTATATTTCATGATAATGTAAACCTCTTAGCAGGAGTTTGAAGTTCTTTACTGAAAAAAAGAGACATGTCTAAATAGAATATTCATTGTGAAAACCTGGGTTGAATAAGGGTAGCAGGATCTTGTTGCAATAAAACAGATTCTGTTCCTGTATACAGTTATGTACAGTTCACAAATATAATTTTCCTTCTATGAAATTATCTCCTGGTTCATTAAATCTATCACTATATCTGGTACAGTTCCGCAAATATATTTTGGCATACGTCTGGAGTGGTATGGGAATGGAAGACTCACAGTGAATTCTGAAAGTGTAAAATTTGGTCACATTCCAAAAATGAGTATGTGAGGGTTTGGGTTTTCTTTTTTTCCTACAAAGTCCTTTATGTTAATTGAAACATTTAATATTCATGAAATCAAAGCATTTCATTTTCACTTTTAAAATTCCGTTGTGTATGATACGTAATACATAAATGCAAAGTAACTGTAAAAAAAAAATCAAAGCATTCTGCTCCAATAAAAAGACCTCTTTTTAAGTGTATATAGAAGGTTAAGGAGATTTCGTCAAAATCATTATGGTCCCTTAGAGCTGATTTGAAGGGCTGACTGGAGAGCTTTTCTGGGCAAATAATCAGAATATTCTGCATCAGCTTCATACACGTGAAGAACACAACAGCTGAGGCAGAAGAAATAATGAGGCTACAAAAGCTCATGGCAGTGGCCACAAAAGTCTCCTACGCTTCACATTCATCCTCAGAGCCGCAGCTCTTAAACCTCAAATTCTGTCTGCGTTTAGGTAATTTTTTTAAAAAACGGATTTGTTTTGTGTTTAAAAAGTCTAAAACTGTCATCTTTACCAACTGAATAACAAGGTATTTCCATAATCCAGAGTTTGGCAACAGATCTGACTGTCCAGGAAACGGCCCTTCCCCCATATGTCAGACACATTGCTCTATGCCTCAAAAATATGCAGGGGGAAAAAAAAAAATCTAAATAGCCAGATCAGTTACAGCTTGAAATCCATCTCGCTGTGCTAACCGTTGCCATCCATTGCAAGCTGTAGTCCAATTACCCCTCTAATTCTCTCAATGAAATCAGTCTATTTTCCTTCTTTTTATCTCCGTATTGACCATTCATATCAATTCCAGTCAAATATTGATCTGGATGTTCTTCCATTAAGGAAGATTCTCAGCAATTCTGAAGATATCTAGAAATATATAACACATATTCACTTGTTCGCCTTCTGCGTAGGGTTAGTTTCTAGTGCCACTTAAAATGAAGCAATATATTGTATAGTAAACTTTTAAAGCCAGTGTATTCAAGTCTGACCATAGCAAAAGCAATTACTGTTAGTACAACAATGACCAGATTTATGGACATGAATAAGTTTGACTCAGACTATTCCACTTCTCTTTCCACAGATATCCCAGTAATCTTTGAGGAACTCGGATATTTTACACTCCCATGGTTTTCACACTCGTTCAATGAGATTGGAGGGGACACACAGGAAGGCAGCTAAGGGAGGCAATACCTGAAATGTGACGCAATCAAACACCATGGATTGTGAATAATTAATAGCAGAAACCAAGCAATTTGCAGGAAGAACCTAAACTGTTCAGTAAATCCTTAAAATTAATGAATGTACATGCAGGAAAAGTCAGATGCCAGAAAAGGGCCTAAAATGGTGCACGCTTTGATAAGGATTTTGCATTGAGATCTGTGAATAACACAAGCAACCCCTGAAGTGCTTCGGTTTTGATGAACTCCTGCTACTGAGTCAGTAACTCCTCTGCAGTGACCAAACGGCAGGACACAGGTAGCTCCCAGCAGGGTTTACGTTCCCGCTATTACCTTCTCCAGGAGGTCTGGTCTGCTTTGGAGCTAAAGCAAAATAGCAAATAGCAAAATGAACAGTGCATGTAATGAAGTGAAATGAAAACAGAAGGGCTCCTGTACATAAAAAAACCTCCAAAGTCTCACCAGCAGTAGCTACTCTGTAATACTCTCATTGTAAAGCTGGAATCGTATTTGAGTAAAATTCCTATTTCAGCAGCAGCAGGCTCTGCATGTAACACGGAGGAATAATGCTTTCAGCCTGGTGGCTCAGGTTCCTTCTGTAAGACAGAAGCAAAGCTTCCTGCCCTCAGAGAAAAATTAGCAATTATGTAAGATAACTAATTACTGGGAAGCACTTGAACATTCAAGTGAGGAGGATTATTTAGAGTTAGAAGAGAGTCTATTATTGCCTTGATGTATAAATATGGTCCAATACAAAGTAGGACTCTAAGAATCTCAGGAATTATAGGCACTTTGTTACTTGCAATATCTGGATAAAATTACTGGTGAAAAACACATACAAGCAAAACCAGAATCACAAATACAACACAGCAAGTAGAGCAAAACCTTATATATCCACCTGTCTCCTCCTCCAGATTTGCAGCCTCCTTGTGGTTATTACCACCACTATCTAAAGTAGAGGTGAAATCCTGTTAACCTCCTTCCTGAAAAGGACGTGGACCAGAAAATAACTTTTAAAAATTCAGTGTTCAACTAAATGGAGGAAAGAAAAACTCTTTAAATGGAAGAGGCTTATCTGGAAAGCAAAATGGCTAGGATGTACCACTCGGTATAGAAGGAAGGATGAAATGCTTCATATCATGCACAGTTTTAGCATCGATACGTCTGACTGAGGTATCTTGGCTCTTCTCAGACTACTGCTCCACCACAGAAGTCCAGGTATAATTATTACTGAAATAAAAATAAGTAAGTTAAATTTGTGGTTCCCAGCCTTTCTGTACTTTCCTCCTTACATCTGACAATCTGCAAGGAAAAAGAGCAGGAAATTTACTCTGTGCTGCCCTAGATGCCACCCCCAGGAAGAAGGACCATAACCAGGCAGCTACAATTCTCCCCTGCCAGGCCTTGCTTCTGGGCGGTCATTCCCTGGTATTGAAAGGGAAAAGGGAGGAGGAAAAAAAAAAAAAAGACACACTCCACTGCTGAGCCCTCAACTACTGATCTTGCTCCAAGAAGGAAAAATCAGGTATAAGGCAGCCTGTTCCTCACAGGCACCTGATCTAGGATGGGGCAGCACTGACGGCTCCCATCCCATTTTGTCTACTTGACAGAGAAAATCAAACTGTCCTTTTTTGGTCTTGCCTCGGACAATGTACGTGGTGGCACCAGATGTAGTTTTGCCTGTCTGAAAGCAAAGGACATCAATATCAGCTGCAAAGTGGTGCACGGGTTTAAAGAAAAGAAGCCACAGAAAGACTAAATTCAGACATTGCTCCTCATTCTAAATCAGCAGCACTGGGGCCACCTTGGGCAGAGCTAACGCTGAAAATAACCGTAAAAGCATCAGGATCATCTGACCAGAAGAGCCTATCTGTAGCAAAGGTATTACGAAGCAGGAACAGATGCTAAAATAAAAAAAATTTAAAAAAAAATAAAAAAATATGTTGAATAAAGCTGCCAGTGGCATCAATACTTTACTGGCTCTCAGAGACAGGTCCAGCATTCACAGCCTGTCACTAGTTTTAAGAGGAGACAAATACAACACAAAAATAAAGAGAAACCTTGGTTCTCAGGCTTATCTTTAAGATTAAATGTTACTGGCTCCTTATCTTTAACATTAAATTTTACTGACTCGCTTCAGGGCTCTATCTCCATACATCTCCCAAGCAAATTATGGTGCCCACAGAAAGCTTAACAACAGATTGGATTGCCCCCTCCTATTTTAATGGGACTGATCTCTGCCCAGTCTTCCCAGGCAGCCTTTCACGCTGTATCACGTAACACAGCATCCCTACAGTACACCACTAGCTTTTGTGCATCATTTCCAACGATTTCTCCCTGATAGTGTAATATTCTAAAACCAGTTTACTTGAACC